ATTTTTTTTTTAAAGGTAAAAATTTCATAGTGAAATTTTCCTACTTAATTTAGTCCGGACTTTGCATCTCGAAACTACATTTGAGACTGGATATAATTGTTTTGAATTTATTGTTGTTATTACCTTTCCCTACTTCCCTTTTTCCATTTCCGGAACTTAAGGTGGTTGCTGGCAACGACATGAGCTAAAATAAATAAACAGCTTACTTGAAAGAATTCATATAAACATACCGACGAACCAGCACCACCTTCATCAGTGTTTTATTATTGCATGCACACATTACCCAGTGACTCAAAGTAGAAGGAAAAATAATAGAAAGTGAAGACAAATTTAATTTACCAGTGATGGTTAATTAAGATTTTAAAATTTTATTTGTTCACCTACAACGGCACGCCAAAGATATTTTACGGCCCACTTTCAAACAGATTATAAACTTAAAGTTTCATAGCTCCATAATGTTTCATTTCTGCTCAGTGAAATATCTTAGCGTATACCGAGGCTTGGAAAAATCAGAACTTGTATAAAGTTTTAACTTTGCAATTTTAATTTCTTTTGGTATTTTTCTTATAAAAATACCTGGCGCCCTCATCAGACTTGAATTATCGGACATCTAGGCAGATGCTTCCATGTATACACAAGTATATGCTTAACAGGACCAAGAAACTCTTTTCATAACTTTTGTCTTATTGCTTTTAAAGTCAATACTACTTATATTACATAATATAAACGTGGTTGACGTTCAAACGCGGGAAATGTATATTCATGTGTGTATATGTAACAATATTTGATCTTTTACATTAATTTACTTTTCACAACTTAACTAATTGACTTTCTCAAGGAGGGTTAAGGCCTGTGACTTGTCGGAATCTGTCGTTATCTAAGCTTTATTAGTAAAATTACTTTCATCCTAAATCATTAACCTTTCGAGCCATTCCCACGCGAAGTCGATTGTAAAATCGCCCCTGAGATTTCTCTAAATTTATCAAATAGTTCGTACTTATTGGTTCTTGTAGCTAAAGCTACTGGGCATAGTATTTAATAAATTTTGGCATAGTTTAATCGTATTGCGTCTCCACCGTCATGATGACGCTTGGCGAGCCTCATGCGATCCGGGAACAGCGTCTCGGGAATGAATCCGCGGCGTCTGGTCCAGCGATAAGAACCGAAGTAAGACGACACTATTTTTAAAACTTGCTACACAGAATGTTTCACGAAATCGACCCACATTTGAATGGTGATAATAATGTAGATGGTGGTGATGTACATGATGTAAATAATGGTAATGTAGATGATGGCGATGTAGATAATGGTGGTGTAGATGATGGTGACGTAGATGATGGTGGCGTAGATGATGGCAATGTAGATGATGGCGATGTAGATGATGGTGATGTAGATGATGGTGATGTACATGATGGTGATATAGATGTTGCTGTAGTAGATGATGGTAATGTAGATAATGGCGATGTAAATGATGGTCAGGTAGATGACGGTGATGTAGATTATGGTGATGTGGATGGTGGCGATGTAGATGGTTGTGATGAAGATGATGCCAATGTAGGTGATGGTGATGTAGATGATGGCGATGTAGATTATGGTGATGTAGATGATGGTGGTGTAGATCATGGCGATATAGATGAGTGATGTAGATGATGACGATGTAGATGTTGATGATGGAGATGGAGATTATGGTGATGTAGATAATAGCGATGTAGATTATGGTGATGTTGATGATGACGATGTAAATGATGGTAATGTAAATGACGGTGCTGTAGATGATGTTGCAATTATGGTGATGTAGATGATAGCGATGTAGATGAAGGCGATGTAGATGATAATGCTGGAGATTATAGTGCTGAAGATTATGTTATGTAGATGAGGGCGATGTGGTTGATAGTGATGTAGATGATGGCGATGTAGATGATGCGATGGTGCTGTGGATCATGGTGATGTAGATGATGGTAATGTGGATGAAGGTGTGATGATTTAAAAAACATACGCGCAAGAGAGTGTTCCGTGAAGCGGCTAGGCGCGGGGCGAAGCCCCCAGCTGGCCTTCCTTCGTACGAACGTCGTATTTTGACGGTGATTTTTTCCCTCTTCCCAGTGAATTTTCGGTTTTTCGGGGGGTCCGCGCGACCGACCGCGGCTTTTAGCGGGGAAGTGAGACGCAGATACTCGGAAACGCGCTCCATCGGAAGCGTTTCGGGGTCGACTTCTCCGACCGAGGGTTCTTTTTCCTGGAGGGATCGGGACTTCCTTCCGCTTTTACGCGAAAATTTCGTCCTTTCCGAGCGTCTCTGGCGTATTTTTGCGGCGTATTTTTTACTTTTTAACGCCGAAAATTTTATAAAGCCCGGATTATTTCGGCGAAAACGCCGTTTTCGCGACGGCGTAATTTTTTTCCCTCGCTCGATCGGCCTTCGCTTTCTGCGCGAGGACGAAGCCCTGGCTTTTCTCTCGGCGTACGTACCGCGCCCGAGGACTGAGGAAGCCCGCGTTGGCCCCCCGAGACGCCTTTCCGGCGACGCGTCGCGACGATCTCTCTCTTCTATATCTCCATCAACTTTTTTTAGGTCGAATGTAACAAAATTTAAGACCGGCATTAGCGATATAAAATTTGTGCATTCAACCATGGGCGTCTCTTGGGTCAGGTGAAAAGAGAACGTACTTTCCGCGGCTCTTACTAGATGTTGGCAGAGTTTGCGCGGCCGAATTCTTCACGAGTGACGTCACGATACCTTTCCCTTTCCGCGAAAAATTATATTCGGCCCTCACAGTAGCCCCAGAGGGTCGTAAGCGATGGTATTAAACCCTTCGACAAAAAATTTTGCGAGTTTATGACAGCCGATGACAGCGCCGTGACTAACGTCACTTTGATATCACAAGATGGCGGCCACCGTTTGATCGTACGAAAATCGGAAATTTTCAACTTTATGTGCACCCATTTGTGTAAATCACGCTAGCGGAGGCCGTTTTACATCGTATTCTTTGGTTTTGTGAAGATTTGGTATAGTTTTTTTCCCAAGAAAAAAATTACGTTCAACACCGGTCCCATGGGCTTATGTTATAGGTCGGGGCCCCACGTATGCTTTGTGATCTGGATTGTCAGTGAAATACATTCTTCTAACTTAACATATGGACAGGTAAATAACACTGTAAGCTTTAACATAACCTTTACCCATTCATTAAAAATAATAATAACCTCTTCCAGTACAAATCTGCAAGATTCATAAACTGTCAAGTAAAATAAACCTGTAAATTGAGAAAAGCCAGTTCCAAGTTTACTCAGAAGACAAATATTTGGCCTGGGGGCGTTTTGCAAAAACCCTTTCGACAGGTATAGTATATGTATTTTTTTACCCGGCTGTTGGTAGAATCTAACATAAATTTTAGTTTTCCAGTTGAAACTAGGCTGTAGATGAATGTAAATATAGTGCACAGTGTGGAAGTTTTGTTTAATTGGTTTATAAGAATCCACCACTACATTCCTACACTCTTGCCGTTTTAAGGAGGACCCCTGGAAACCACCAGTGCATAAAGAATGATTTAAATAAAACATCTTTGTTGGTCTTCTGCTATACGTTACATATACAATGTCACATTATGCATACAGTTACACTCCCAGCATATTATATAAAATATACAGATGTGTGTTCAATTTTACCCATAATAAACACAATTTTTTAGTTAGCAAATTTTGTAAGGTAATTTCAATAAATGTTTTTTTGTCATTTGAAAAACTCAGGTTTTAATACATTCCGAGAGGTCTGAAATAAGTATAAACGATAAAAATATTTGTATAACGTTGATAAACATTTGAAAAAAAATAATGTAATAAAAATATTAACCATTTAGTTTTATATATATATATACGGTAAGTAATTATATTATTTATGTTTAAATATCCACTGTTGTCACAGAAAAAACACAATTTTCTTTCACAATCAATCATAAATAATACACATTCTTTTTTATTTATATTTAATATTATCAATTACATACATCTGAATAAATACTGTACTACTGTACCGGCATTTCTGTACTAATAACATTAATTCTAAATACATAACCCTATCTTCTGCTATCACATGTCAACTGGATTAAAACATTATTTTTATATCTTCCATTTAACTTTATAACATTGACATTTTAACCCATTACCATTTACGATGGAGTTAAAATACATTATATTTGAGGGATTTCTTATTTTTCACAACACTCAAAGAACACAGTATTTTTACTTAAAAAAATATTTCTGTTTAACATCACAATTAACGTTTTACTTATTCAGCAGCAAGACAAAATACTACATGTATCACAGTTAAATAATCCAAGTAAAACTTCTTTTTCTTCAGCTTCTTCAACTTCCAGCATTGTTTAAATAACAGCATCTAAAAGAAATATTTTTCTGTAATTTATTTTTCTAACAGAAAACATTTGTTTGATTGTTTCTAATTTCTATAGGTACATACCTTTCAAGTTTTGATTCCAACAGCTTTTACTAATATAATAATTATACATCAACTACAAATTTCCATATTACTTCAAAATATACTTCTAAAAAACGTGCTGTATTTTTCTCTTTTGCGAGTAAATATAATTATATAACTGCTTTGAATATTGAACTAATTGTGTTTAACAGTGGACTGTATTTTATTTTTGATGCAAATGTGAATTACATAACAAAAACGTGTTGTCACTTTGACACTTTTTAGCCAACCAACATTTTTTAAGAAAACTGTGAAACTAGCATGCGGTCACAGAGGCGTGCCTAAAACAAGCTGCAACATAGACCGCCGCTCTTGAACGGCTAAGCCTTCAATAAGTACATATTATGATATACATAAAGGCATAAAATACATAGTTACTAGGTACTTGACAAATAATGAATGCTGAACATGAAATGTGAATTTGATTTAAACAATATCTAAGTCTAAATAGGGTCTGTCTAAATCGAAATCTTACAGATTTTTGTCGTAGCACGTTTCACTTCACCATTTACGGTTTTCACTTGCACTACGCGAACTATTCTGGTTCCGATGGTACGGTGGCCAACTCGGGTTACACACTCTAGCTCAACCATAATTGACCATGTTTTCACAAATATGATACGGAATAGTCTTACAGCTGTAGTTGACAATGATGTATCTGACCATAGAACGGTGCTGTTTCAGATTGATTACGGGCGAGATGAGGAGCCTTTTCCGGCCTCTCACTTTCGGAGAAGCTTTAATAATATCGAAGAGTTTCGATTAGATCTATTGAGAGAGCAATGGGCTATGGTATACAATACTTCTGATATAAATATTGCATATGAAGGTTTTCATAATACTTTTTTATATCACTTCAATAAAAGTTTTCCTCGGCGGAAATTTTATAAGAAAAGTCATAAGTGGTGGGTAAATGACGCTGTAAGAACATCCAGTGTTAAACTGAAGGACTTGCATATTTTGAGAGCTTTGTATCCTGAGTTGAACCCCTTTTATAAAATCGCAAGAAAAGCACATGCCGAATTAGTTGGTAGAACAAAAAAGGAATTCTATCAAAGTAAAATTGTAAATTCTGATAACCCAACCCGTACCGCTTGGAGAGTAATCTCAGAACTGTCCAATAAGTCTAACATTGTAAAAAATATAAGTATAAAATTAGATAATGGAGAATTGTGTACTGATCCACTGTCTGTAGCTTCAATCTTCAATGATTATTTTATAGATGCTCCCCTTAAGTTGATTGAGAATATTCCATTGGCTAATAATAATTACCCCATTCTTAGCCAAAATCAAGTGTACCCTTCTTTTTTTATTCAACCGTATTCGTCTGACGAGTTGTTGATTTTATTAGGAAATAAATTAAAAAATAAAAATTCATCGGGACCGGATGACGTTCCGGCTTTCATCATAAAAAAAGTTCTGACAGCTATTGTAAAACCTCTTTGTTATTTAATTAATTTGTCCTTTCAGACTGGGTCATTTCCAGACTATCTGAAAATTGGAAAGGTTGTACCTGTTTTTAAAAAACACGATTGTCATAATCTGGAAAATTATAGGCCAGTGTCTGTCCCTTCGTGTTTTTCCAAAATATTCGAATATTGTTTTCACGATAGATTAGTAAAATTTCTCAACAAATATGATATTGTTACAGATAAACAACATGGGTTCTGTGCGGGTAAATCAACCACAACCGCTTTGCACTCGTTTTGTGAAAGGGTTATTGAGCTTATGGAGGCAGGCGAGTGTCCTGTTGGGATTTTCTGTGATCTCAGCAGGGCATTCGACTGTGTGAATCATGAAAAATTATTACAAAAGCTAGATGGCTATGGTATACGGGGGGTGGCCTATGAATGGATTTCTTCATTTCTCAAAAATAGAACACAATATGTAAGCATTTCTTGTTCCTCAGTTGGTACCGTTCAAAGAATAAATTCAGGATACAAGGAAGTGGGTATGGGTGTGCCACAGGGCTCGATATTGGGACCTGTATTATTTGTGTTGTACACGAGTGAACTTGATAGCTTAATCTCCGCTGCATTCCCAGTTATGTATGCTGACGATACGTCGCTAATTGTATCTGATAAAACTGATGATGCACTGGCACTCAAATGCAACTCGGTCCTAAATAATGTTAGCAATTGGTGTGGCTCTCACTCATTATATTTTAATCCCTCAAAAACATCTTACATTAGATTTCATAATTATCAGAAAGAATGTTCTAAACTAAATGTTCAGGTATACAATTCTCCATTGTCTGATACTATAACAACCGTCAATTTTCTAGGTTTCACATTGGATGAGTGCCTAAATTGGAAAGAGCACTGCACCAGCCTTATAGCAAAATTAAATTCTCTGTGTTACTTGTTTAGAAACTTGAAATCAGTTCTGACGAAGCAACAACTTATGAATTTGTATTACGCTCAAGTTGACTCCCGTTTGAGATACGGTGTATGTTTTTGGGGGGATACTACCCTATCACCTGGTGTATTTATTGCCCAGAAACGGATATTGAGATGTATTGCGGGTATTCCAAGTTATCACACGTGCAAAGCTTTGTTTAGGGAATTTGGTGTGTTAACTCTTTCAGGATTATTAATTTTTGAACTGTGCATATATATTTTTAAAAATCGAGCAACATTCAAAATGAACAGGGACATTCACTCAATTAATACGCGTCAAAATAGTGACTTTCGGATGCCCCTATATAAATCTAATATATCACGAAATTCCCCTAACTATCTTGGTTTGAAGCTTTTCAATCATCTGCCAGAGGAACTAAAGCGAATCCAGTTTTTTAAAAGTTTTAAATGTAAATTAAAGTTATTTTTAGTGGACAGGTCTATTTATTCTGTAGATGAATTTCTGTCATCTTAGGTTAAGTAATATTGACTATTCCTATATATGTGTACACATGTCTTAGAGGAAAATAAATGCATTATTATTATTATTATTATTATTACACCATCTGTGCCAGGATGCAGCTTGGTGATTCTACCTAAAGGCCAATTCATTGGTGGAAAACCTTCATCTTTCAAAAGAACCATGTCGACTACCTGGATATCATTAATCTAGTTAAATTTCCATTTAACTCGTTGCTGCAACGTTGTCAAATATTCCGAACTCCATCGCTTCCAAAAATGCTGTATGATTTGTTAAAGTCTTTGGTAGTGTGAGAGCCGGTTTACAGGTACGTTTTTCAGGCGGAATGGAATTGAGTACATCGCCAATCAAAAAATGACTCGGTGTTAAGGCCATAAGATCGGTGGAATCGTTTGATAGAGGTGTGATCGGCCGGGAATTCAATATCGCCTCTATCTGCGCAAACACAGTATTTAGCTCCTCAAAAGTGAGGTGTGCATTTCCTATGATTCGCTTGACATGAAACTTAGCAGATTTAACTGCCGCCTCCCAGATACCTCCCATGTGCGGAGATCTAGCAGGTATGAAGTGCCAGCAAATATTGTTTGTTTTGTATTTGTAAATTGAAAAATTGTTCATTTCAGGACCGAGATCTCGCGATAACAAGCTTCTATCCTTTTAAATTCATTATTAGCACCGCGAAAATTGGAAGCATTGTCCGAGTATAAATTTTTGCAAATACCACGCCTTGAGATAAATCTCTTTAGCGCATTCAAAAATGAATTCGTGCTAAGATCACCTGCCAATTCCAGATGCACGGCCTTTGTGGTAAAACAAACAAACAAGCATAAAAAACACTTGACAATTTTACGGTTACGAGTCTTACCATCCTTTATTAAAAATGGGCCTGCGTAATCTACGCCGCAATTGTAAAATGGTCTAGCAGGTTGTACGCGTTGTTCAGGTAAGTCTGCCATAAGTGGCTTCGTGGTAAGCGGTTTTGCCTTGAAACATACTATACAACCGTGTAAGATTTTTCGCACTGAGCTACGACATCTTATTGGCCAGTATTTTAGACGTAACATTGCTAAAGTTAGTTGTAATCCTGCATGAAAATTTCTAATATGCTCGTTCATGATTATTAAATTTGTTAATAAGTGCTTATTCGACAAAATAATTGGATATTTTTGATCGAATGGAACCTTTGATTTGGAAATTCTACCGCCTACTCGCATAATACCTTCCCTGTCTATAAACGGATTTAATGATGTTAGCTTACTGTTTTTCGATACACAATTGTTTTTTCTTAACTTAGAAGTCTTCATTGAATTCGGATAGTTGTGAAATACGTATTAAAACGTTTAACGCTTGAGTCAACTCATTTGTACTTAAAGGACCGGTTAATTTATTTGATTTGTTTGTTTGTTTAAAGTGTTATTTTTAAATCTAAGACAATAAGCGGTTACTCGCTTTAAGTTGTCTAAAGATGAAAACTTTCTGAAAATATCATTTTCCGGGGTAGCTGCAAGTGTTATTAATTTAGTCGGTTTTAGTTCGGGAATATTTTCTGTGGGTATATCGTTATGAGTGCTCCATTGCTGTGGATCATCGGAGAGCCATGCTGGCCCTGACCACCATAATGACGACTCTAATAATTTCTGAGGCGTGCAACCACGAGAAATTATGTCAGCCGGGTTTTCGTTTGATCTTACGTGGTTCCAATCAGATATATTTGTGATCCGTTGGATTTCTGCCACTCTGTTTCGTACAAATGTTTGCCACTGAATAACTGGAGCAGATAACCATGCTAGCACAATAGTTGAATCGCACCAGTAATATATACGTGATAAGTTAATATTTAATGCTTTAACTACTTTATTGTGAGTTGTGCTGAGAGTACCGCTTCACAAAGCTCTAGCCTGGGCAATGTTATACTCTTCAGCGGAGCTACTCGCGACTTCGCGCATATTAAGCGTGTAGCTACTCTGCCTTCTCGCTCAGTTGTTCTAAGATACACACAAACTCCATACGCTGCTTCTGAAGCATCGCAAAACCTATGGATTTGAAAATTTATCGCATTAGGTAGTGCTATGTGTCGTGGAATTATTAAATTATTTAATAATGAGCCTTGATTAATAAATTCGCACCACTCTGTATATATGTCTATGGGAATTGACTCGTCCCAATTTACTTGTAATTGCCACAATTTTTGCATGATTATTTTTCCACGTATTGTTATAGGACCTATTAATCCTAGAGGATCAAAAATTTGTGCTAAACTACACAAAATTGTTCTTTTTGTTACTACACGATTATCTTGTTTTTCGCTTGCTGTAATTTGAAAAGTATAACTTCGCGCGTTCCATAAAAGACCTAGAGTTTTAATGCATGAATTGTCAGATATAATAAACTGGGGTAAATTGTTTTCAGTGTTTCCGGTACTACTTAAAATGTGCGTATTGTTAGCAACCCATTTTCTTAGTTGAAAATAGCCCTCTTTAAGGATTTGATCGATTTCTTGCTTGAGCTTAATTACTTCATCTAGATTGTTTGATCCAGTAATAAGATCATCCATGTAAAAATCGGTTAATATGACTTGACTTGCTTTAGGAAAATTTGTTTGATTTTGTAAAGCCAATTCATGTAGGCAGCGAGTTGCGATAAATGATGCTGGAGAAGTACCATACGTTAACGTGTTTAGCTTATAATCTTGCAATACTTGATCGGGTGCTTCGCGCCAAAGAATGCGTTGCATGTCGCGTTGCTCTTCAGTTACTAATATTTGACGATACATCTTCGCAATATCAGCCTTTATGACATATGTGTGCTTTCTGAATTTTACCAATATAGAAAAGATATCGTCCTAAATTGTTGGGCCCGTTAATAGATTATAATTGAGAGATAAACCCGTCTCCGATTTTGCAGACGCGTCGAAAACCACTCTTAATTTTGTGGTCAAGCTCGCTTCTTTGAGTACGCTATGATGTGGTAAATAATATACCGAATGTTTATTTTCGTCGAGTTCTGCAACGGAAGGCATATCATTGTCTGTTATTTTAGTCATGTGACCAAACGCTTGATATTCGCGCATAAATTCCGTGTATTGCTGCTTTAAATCAGCGTTATAGCCTAATCTTTTTTCTAATGCTAGAAAATGTTTCTTCGCGCTGTCTCTAGTATTACCGAAATCAACAAATGATTCGCGAGTTGGTAATTCAATGATAAACCGACCTGATTCATCGAGTTTTGTCTTTTCGATAAATACTTGTTCGCATTGGTTTTCTTCTAGCGATAACTCACGATGATCTATAAATTCTTCGATTTTCCAGAATTTTTCTAGTTGCCGCTCTAAACCGATTGTCGATAAATTACATTGAACTGTAGCGTTATTTAAATTTAGTTGTATTGGACCAGAAAATAACCATCCAAATTTGGATTTTTGTAATATAGGCTTGTCTGCACCAATGCGTATTTGTCCTACGCAGAGGAGTTCCCAGAACATGCTCGCTCCGATTAGTAAATCTATCTGAGATGAACTATTAAATGTTGGATCTGCTAATGTGATATTTTCTGGAATGTTTAGGTTTGTATCGTCAAAAGATATAAATGGAATGTTATCCGTGATGTGATTAATAATTAGTAATGAGATTTCCTTTTGATAAGCATTGTGCATAGATTTTATTATTGTCATTGTTTTCCCAAATATATTAGTTAAAGATTGTCCAATGCCTGAAACAGGTACATTTATTTTGCACTTATTTAATCCTAATTTTGTGAATAAACTAGTTGTGATGAAATTGGATTGGGATCCATTGTCTAACAATGCTCTGCACTGTATAAAATTGTTGTGTTTATCTTTAATGTAAATTAATGCTGTTGATAGTAAAATGTGTGGTTCATGTTTTGTACTAGAATGTGCATTGATAGACGATATGACTTGATTCTGATTGCATATATCGGGTGAATTAGAATTAGCTTGCGAGTTGTTTTCGTTTTGAGCCGTGTTATTCGTTTGCTTTGCTGAATGATCATCATTATCGTGAATGTGAAGTAAACTATTGTTTTTTGTTGCAAAATTTACAGTTACTGGATCTACATTCTGCGTTAAAATGACCTGCACGTAAACAACTTGTACATATTTTGAATTTTTTTATTTCCTCTAGTCTTAGCTTGACAGGAATTTTCAATAAGTTTTTGCAATAGTATATCGAGTGAGAACCTTTACAAAATTCGCATCTACGATTTTGAGTTGCTACCAGAGACGCGTAATGCTCGTCGTTCCTTTTAACATTTGCTTTCATAGTTTTGCTATGACTGAAATTATTACGATTGCCCGCATTTAATGTTTCTAGCAAATTACATTTTTCTGTTAGAGATGTTGTTATGTCTGACATTTTTGGATCATCTAATTTAGCCGTGTAAGCTTCTCAATCTCGTTTTGTAGTTGGGTCAAGCTTGGAAAATATGAGATGCACTAATAGAATATCCCAGGAGTCTGTTGATTCGCCAAGGTTCCTTAATGCTCTTGTATGAACGTTTACTTCGTTTAATAATTTGCGCAAACCAGTAAATGATTCTTTTGCTAACGGTGCTATATCAAATAGCGACGCTACATGTGCCTTTTTGATTAATTTTTTGTCATCGTATCTTTGCTTTAATAAATCGAATGCCGTTTTGTAATTTGTGTCCGTTATTTCAATTGACTCTATTATCTGCTTTGCTTCGCCCTGTAACGATTCAATCAAATAATGAACACGCTGCGCATCACTTAAATTCGCGTCTTTATTTACTAGATCAGTAAAACTATTTTGAAACCTAGGCCAACCGCGATAATCGCCTAAAAAGGTTGATAATGGTATAGCCGGCAGTTTTGCAAAATAATTTTTTTACATTAGGCTACGCAACTGGAATTTGATTGATGTCTTGCAGAAAATCTTTAGCTTTACCCACGAGAGTATAATAGTTATCTTCAAAGTTTTCCCGTTCGTTAGTTTCCGAGGTATCTAACATTTCAATTTCTGTTTGAATTTGATCGAATTCAACTGCAAGTTTTTCAATTTTCTCTAAACGAGCCTTTAATTCAGTAATAGAACGCTTGTTATCGTGAAACCCTGCTAAAAAATTAGAAAACCGTGTGATTTGTCCTTTTATACTACCTCGTTTGGCAATTAAAAGTTTGTGTTCTTGCGACTGTTCGCTATCCATGTAGACAAATGATAGAAAATGAGTATGTGTTCACGCAAATAGACGTATACTGAGATTTGTTAGGTTCCTGACGAATAAACAGGTTAGAACTTACAGGAAACAGCAACCATTCAATGTGCGGCTACGACTTGCTATCTGCGCTGCGCCAAGTATGCTTACGAACTGCTGTTATTTACACTGACTCGGAACTGCGCTCTCCTTCTATGCTTCTTACTGATGTTGAGTTGCGAATGCTTGAATGCAAAAATAACTTATTTGCAATGAGTTTCTTACTTGAAATTATCCTTGTTCATGTAGAATCCGGCTCGAATGTACCAATCAATGTGCTGTATTTTTCTCTTTTGCGAGTAAATATAATTATATGACTGCTTTGAATAATGAACTAATTGTGTTTAACAGTGGACTGTATTTTATTTTTGATGTAAATGTGAATTACACAACAAAAACGTGTTGTCACTATGACATTTTTTGGCCAACCAACATTTTTTACGAAAACTGTGAAACTAGCATGCGGTCACAGAGGCGTGCCTAGAACAAGCTGCAACAAAACAAATACTGGGAAATTGGTAAATTTTGCAGCCAATTATTAATTATATGTACTCTTAAGTATATAATCTAGGATATATACATCCAATATCCATTTGACAGCCACATAAATACAAGAAGTTACTCACAGATCACAGATTAAAGATTTGCAGTTAGTTGGGTCGGGAAATTATTACATCCAATCATGGCAAGCATTTAGAGGACAGCTTGCGCTCTCATTGTGTCTGGCACGAACTAAAATCGAACAGGCTTCATTCTGTACGTTTAAGAATGCACGTTTCGGTTGCAACACTAGAGAATTACTCAATGTTATAAATTTTTTCTAAAATTAAGTTACTAACTGGAATTACGATGACAATGACGATATGGAAGAAAATATAACTTTTCAAATAGGTTTTTCTACACAGGATGACATGGTTTCTAAGCAAATTGCTTTGAAGCTGGAACGGTCGAGAGTATTCTGCATATATCAGAAATTTATTGGTTGCAATATTTTTATTAAAGATCTTATATTGTACAACTGTAGAAGCATATTGCAAATGTATATACTGAGTGTTTCATAAAAATGAAACAGGCGGACAAGGATTTTTTTCTCATTTCACTACCTACTTTCAAACATTATTTATTGAAATCTCTTGATGAAGATTTATGTAGTTACTAACCAGACGCTTTCTTTGAAAATCCATGTACTGGATGTTTACATAAAATGGCCCTGGTCAGAATTATCGGTCCAGAGGCTTTTGTATATTTTACAAATTTATTGATGGCAATATTTTTATGAAAAATCTTATACTGTAGAACTCAGAAGCATTTTGCAAATTTATACACTGAGTGTTTCATATAAAAATGAAACAGGCGGACTAGGATTTTTTTCTCATTTCACTACCCACTATCGGTCAAGAGGCTTCTGAATATTTCAGAAATTTATTGATGGCAATATTTTTATGAAAAATTCATAAAAATGAAACAGGCGTACTAGGATTTTTTTCTCATTTCGCTACCAACTTTCCTACATTATTTATTGAAATCTCTTGATGAAGATTTATGTAGTTACTAACCAGACGCTTTCTTTGAAATCCATGTTGATGGATGTTTACATAAAATGGCCCAGGTCAGAATTATCGGTCCAGAGGCTTCTGTATATTTCAGAAAGGACCCCGCAGGGTCCTTATGGAAATAGGGTCTCGGTCAAATTTGATGAAACTCTGGACTCTGTTAGTTCTCGACGAGTAGAACAAAAGTTCTCATGGCCACTGAGTCCAAAAGTCTCATGGTTTTGAGATATAGCTCTCTGAAGTTCGACTTTGGGTGCATTTTGCAGTATTACTAGTTTCACACTTACAATAGTATATACTTGTTTGTTCAAGCACGTATGCATGTATACGTGTATTCAAATACATATAAACTCCAAACACGTATAAACATACAACTACACACACGCATATATATATATATATATATATAGACATATTACGCATCATTACGAAGCCGAAAAAGACAGATTCATCCGATATTATGAAGCCCACTAGGTTAATACGAAGCCCTCCTTCGGGCTTCGTAAAGATAACCGTGTATAAAGTCAGAAATAGCTATTATATGATTATAGGGACCTGTAACAAATTTTTAGGTAAGGCTTCGAATTGGCGCATTTTATGGCAAAATACACGCGCCATAGTTCACCATACTGATCTGCAGAGGGCGCGTCAGTCAATCTGTATATATTACATACATATAAAATAGATCCAGCGCATTTTACGAGCCAAATCGGAATACGAGTGATTATACGAGTCCCTATTGAGTTGGCAACAGTGTACGAGATTTAAATCATTTTCCCTTGATTTTATTCATTCTTTTCGTCTATGCGATCTGTAGTCTATGAGAGGCCCGTTTCCCTAGT